GAACACCTCTGCCCAGACTGGGGAGCACCCCGGGAAACAGGGAGAGCCCGAGGGTGCGTGTTGGGGGATGCCCGGGAAGCTGGACAGCTGGGCCAAGCCCCGAGGGAGGAAGGGCCAGGCTTGTGCTTGGGGGGCGGGGTCCGAGAAGGACCGACTGGGCGGAAGGGGGTCATGTGCTGGGAGTGAGCCAGAAGCCGGCCGGAGCCGAGGCTGCAGGCAGATGGGGGTGGGGGTGGGGTGAAGGTGGCCTGCCCCTCGAGCTCCTAGACCCACCTAGGGTTCCAGAGTCCTCCCCAAGAGAGCCGGTGGCGCCCCTCACCCAGAGCTCCCTGCAGCCCACCGCTTGACGGGGCTGGAGGCCGGGCCCTGCCCCCAGCACAGTGGCCACATGTGGGGGCCTGGCCAGCCTGCATCTCACCCTTGGCTGCCACGTGCTCCCACCTGGGAAGGGGGTGAGGCTTGGAGGAGGGGGGAAAGACTGAGGCACCCCCCCACTGTGCCACCCCACCCCCACCCCCAGCGGACGGCAGGCAGCGCAGGGCACCTGCCCAGGCCTGTTCGCAGACGCTCACGGTAAGAACGGCCGCCAGCTGGTATGTCGGCGAGGAGCTGGGGGCCGGGGTGTGGCCTGGGGCTGGAGCCCTCACCCTCTGGGGCCCGTGGGCAATGACCTGACCCCACAGGGCTACGTTGGCAGTCAGACATGATCGGGGCTGGCACCTGGTGCTGGGCATGGAGCTGTTACACGGGCAGGGGCTGGGAGCAGGCAGCCAGCCCGACGCCTTCCAGGCCCCGACACAGGTCCTGGTCTTGGTGTGAAATCCCCTGAACCACGTCGGGCCTGGGCAGGGCAGACCCTGGTCCTGTGTGGCCCCGGCAGGCCCCTCTCCCAGCCAGGCTGGCACCCAGGCCCAGGCCCGCGGTGCCCAGGGAAGGCATGAGTGTGCTCACACCCCCTGCACCCCCTGCGATGAAGCCGCATCTCCCAGTCCCTCTCCAGGTCTCCGCAGCCCGCAGGCCTGCCAACCACGGGCTGGCACTGCTTCCAGTGAGCACAGCCCGGGTACCAACAAAACGTGCACCATCTAGGCTCACCTGCCCTGCAGAGGACGTCTGTCCACGGTTCCCGGGGACTTGGCCCAGTCGGTGCTGGGGACACACGGGGGCTTCCCCTCAGGCCGGCCAGCAGCACCCAGCCGGGCCCCCTTTCTGTGCACATTCCTGGTGCTCAGAACAGCCCTCCTAGCGGGGCGGGAGCAGGAGGCCCCAAGGCCACCAAAGAGCTGGCCTTCCAAAGAGCTGGCCTTCACCAGACGGGCACTGGGGCAGGCAGGGCGGTGAGGCTGGGCTGAGGCTGGAAGGAGCCCCAGGGGAGAGTTCAGGCTGTTGGAACACAGTCTAAAAACCAGGGGCCAACAAGAGAGGGGCCTGCCTATGAGCCCCCACTTCAGGCCTCAGGGCTGGGGTTGGGGAGCCACTGACATCACAGGCTGGGGGGAGAGCGCACTGGGCTCCGGACCTCAGAGCTCCGCGCAGACCGTGGAGGGAGTTACATGGCTCCTCTGGGCCTCAGTGTACACATCTATGAAGTGGGTGATGCACTGAGACCCGCAACTGATGCACGAACTAGACACCGACCCCCGAGTCTGGCTCACAGTGAGGGCTCGTCTCAAGGGCTGGGAGCTATCACCTGGGGGTCGGAGTGGCCTCTGCAGAGCCCTGGGCAGGAGCAAGGGGGAGGATGTGGCCTGGGGTACCCAGGGGTGCCCAGCAGCACGTTCCCTTCCCACAACCTTCAGGGTGGCCGAGACTATTGTCACGTGAACAGAAAGACGTCGGGGCTGAGGGGGTGGAGGCTGGTGTGGCCTGCACGGAGCCCAGCCCCCGGGACGCGGCCTCTTGGAGGGGCAGGCGACATGTCCAGCACAGAGGCTCTGGCAAGGGGCCTGGGCCATTGCATCACGCAGGTGGCCCTGTCAGATCCTGGCTCCCCAGGGCCCCCACGTACCCCTCCAAGCCCTGCCCCCACGCCGGGGATGATGAAACCTCAGCTCCTTGAGTGGCAGACACAGAGCAGGAGGAGCAGGACTGTGCAGACCGGTGCCAGGCACACAGTGGGTTCTGCCTCCGGAAGATGATGGGGGACACTGACCCTCTGGTTCGGGGACAGGCTGTGCACCAGGTGACCTGCAAGAGCCCTGATGACCACGGTGGAGGGCCAGACCTGGGGTGGGTTCTAGGAAGTGTGGGGGAAGCCCAGGGCGTCTGAGTACTTCTCAGAATCTGGTCAGATTCCCATGTGGTCAGAGTGGGCACAGAACAGCAAAGGCTGCGGAGGGGACTGCTGGTGCCCACCTCTGCTGGCCATCCAAGGAGCCATGGCCAGACAGTCCCATGCCCCCGCTCCTCTGCCCTGGCACTGCCTGCTCCCCTGAGCTGGCACACAGCAGGACGTGCGTGAATCCCCGGTGAGTGCTGACCCAGAACCTCCTCGGCACCAGGAGACGGGCCAGGCTCTGCAGCTACCACAGGGCAGCGTGAGACAGATGCTCCTTCACCCAGGACCCCAGTGAAGGGTCAGAGAGACACATCACCAATCGTGGCGAGTGTCGGGGGCCAGGCAGTGCGCAGGAAACATCTGGGACCAGAGGCAAAACCTGCCAGGACCCTGCAGAGAGATCCAGCCTGGGTCAGGTCTCGGGGGGCCGCCTGGGCTGTGCTGCCCCCGCCCCCGGGGCCGCCTTCTCAGCTGTAAGATGGGGTGACAGCTGTCATCACCACGGTCGGGACCAGCACTCCCCGAACCCACACAATCTCCTCTCAGAGCCCCCCGCCATTTCTGTTCCCTTGGCAGAGGCTGAGGGGCCACCCCAGACCAAGGCTCCCCCCACCACAACCAGGAGGAAGCACGGAATCTCCACCCGCCTGACCTGGGCCAACTGAGCCGGGTCCCCATGCTAGGGAGGTCTGGCTGTCGCCCTCAGGAGAGGGGCCCTCCGTCTAGCAGGGCTCCCCAAGAGCAGCGTGCTGCCGTGGGCCACCAGAGGGCACCCAGGCCACAGAGGCCTGGCTGAGTCACCGGGAGCAGGAGGGGACAGGCCTGATGGCCGCTGTCCTGGGAGGTCACCCTGTTTACTTTGTCCCACGTGGCACTGACACTCTCCGCGGTGCCTGGGCCTGCAGGGCACTCTGTGGGGCACTCTGGAGTTCTGCAGCTCATGGGGGGTCCGGCAGGGCAGCACTCCTGATGCGGGAGTCGAGGGGCACAGGCAGGGAGGGCACAGTCGCCGGCATTCCAGACCCAGAGGGTGGCGGCGCCTGCCAGGGCAATGCTTGGACAGCTGCTGGGTGGCCACCCTCCCCCGGCGAGATGGACAGCACCCGCCTCCAGCCATCACTCAGGGCGACGCTCATTGCTCACACTCGGCCCCTAACTCGCTGCATCCAGCCCCCACCCCCACCGGCCTCTCCGGTTTCCGCGTTCTCTCCTAGCCCTTGGCGGCCACCCAGACTCTGCCACCCCGTCTCCCGGCCTCACTGGGATGGAGGCCTGTGGATACCAGCAAGTTCAGGATGGCCCCAAGGACAGGGGGCCGAGTGGGAGTGGACACGTGGAGGAGGGCATCGGGCACGGTTTCCGTCCCAAGGTCCAGGGCTGGGCGGGTGCGGAGACCCCAGTGTCTGGGGAGGGACCATCCAGGCAAAAGTTCCTGGGTCAGGGGGTGGAACATGAACCAAACTGCAGGGGGCCCATCAGCAGTCAGGAAAAGAAGACCCAGGAAAACCCGTTTTGGGCCCCTGAGAAAGGACCTCTCCAGAACCTGGGGTGTCCGTGGGGAGGAGAGAGGTGCTGCTCTCAGGACACCCTTGTGTGTACCCGCCCTCCGGGGAGCCAGGGGTCCGCAGCCTGGTTGCCCCCTGGCCCAAGGCAGGGCCCTGGACCCACCCCTCACACTGATGCACCCCTCTCTCGTTCAGCATTCCTGTGGCCGGGCCATTCCTCGTCCCACACGTCACTGTTTGAGCTTGGCCCTTACCTGCCTTCCCATCCCAGGTTGTGAGGCACGACCAGGACAGGAACCTGGGCTGCTCTGCTCAGGTGCCCGTGCCCCCCGCACAGACCCAGTGTGGCTGCGGATATGGTTACGGTTTGGGGACGAAGTCTGGGGTCTAGGAGGTCCTCAGGGCATGCTCCATCTCCCACCCTCACAGGAGCTGCCGGCAAAGCCAGAGGCCAGCAGGGCAGGGATGGGCAGGGCTGAGGCCACCTGGGAGGGTCCACACTCTTACACAGAAATGACACGACCCCTGGGTGGGATCCAAAATGCTGACCACCTGCAGCTAGACTCCTTGGGAAGAGGCTCCAAGTGCCAAGCAGGTAGGCACAAGTTCCCGGGCAGGAATCTCTGCCAGGCGGCATTCTTGCTCCCGAGGTCGCACCCCCACCCCCAGCGCCTCTAGGCTGCCTTTGAAGAGGACCCCGCGGGAATCCCCAGCCCACCCGAGGCGCCTCCCGGAGAGCCCGCACAGTCCAGTGGAGTTCCTAGCCCGCGGCCGCGGTCAGCGGTGCCCAGACAGCGGCCCTGCGGCTCAGCCCTGCCTGGAGGGAGGGCTGCGCGCCCGCCGGTCTCGAATTCCAGCCCCGCGCCGCGCAGGGCCAAGCCGGTGCCGAAGACGCCTAGCTGGGGCCACGGCCCTGGAGCAGCGCACCGAGCCGGGGAGCCCCTGGTCACACCCCAGCGAGGACAACTCCACGAGAAGGGGCTGGTGGCGACCGCGCAGAGCGGAGGAGACCGGGGGAGGGAGGGTGGCGCGGGGCTGGGAGGCGGGGGCGAAAGAAAGGGTGCGGGCAGCGGAGGCGCCGGGGGTCACTCCGAGCCCGGGAGGCCGGGCGCAGACGGCAGGATCCCGGCGCCCGGCACGAGTGGCCGCACAGGGCCGACCGGGGGACGCAGGAGAACCCGGGCGCGCCGGGGTCGGGGCCCGCAGTCCGCACTCACCCGAGATCTCCGCCTGGGGCACGTCGCTCAGGCTGAAGCCCTTAGCGCCATAGACCTGGCGGACTTCGCTGCAGCTCCGGCTCTTGCTGGCAGGGTCCCCGCGGGCACAAGAAGCCAAAGCGGCGGCCGCGCACAGCAGCCACCAGCCTCCGGCCCGGAGCTCCATGGCGGGGCCGCGGCGCCCCCAGCCGCCCACGGCGCCTCTCTCGGGTCCGGCGGGGTCCACGCAGCCTCAGCCCGCGAAGGGCAGAGCCAAGGTCCCGGCACGCGGCTCGCGGTCCGCAGACGGCGGCGGAGACAACAAAAGCCGGCGGCGGCGCAGGGCGCGCGGGGCTCGAGGACCGGCCGCTGGGTCGAGCCGCCCAGAGCGCAGCGGGCGAGCGCGCAGTCCCAGCTCGGCGCCTCCCCCGGCCCGGCCCGGCCCGGCCCCTCGGCGGCCCGGGAGAGAGGCGGGGAGGGCTGCGAAGGGGAGGGGCGCACAGGGCAAAAGAGGGCAGCCCCGGGGCGGGGCGGGGCGCGACCAGGGCCCACCGGGCGCTCCTCCCCTCCGCGAGGACTTGGGGCGCGAACAGCTCCGGCGAATCTGCCCACCGCCTGAGGGAGACTGGGGCGACGGGGGAGCGCGCGGGCCGTGTCTGGGGTCCCCAGGGCGGGCCCCCCACGCCCAGCGCACCACCTGTGGGGGCGGGGCGGGGCGGGGGCGTTGAGGCAGGGCTTCCCCCGCCGGACGTGACATCACGCCTGCCGCGCGCCTATCAGGGGCCTCCCCGCCCCCGCCGAATTCAGCATCCCTCCAATCCTCCCGGACCCGGCGCGGGCCCTGGTGTCCTGCACCCTGGCAGCTCGCCCCGCGGTCAGCTCCCTCAGCACCCCGTCCCCTCTGCCCGCCGCCTCCGTCCTCAACTGCATCCCTTTACCAGCCTCACTCCCACGCCCCGCTCAGCGCCTCTCCCACAATTCCGGCCACACCTGGTGGTGGTGTGCGGGACCTTGGGGGGCTGTACGCGGGAAACTAGCCCAGAGATTCCACCCCACCGACTCCTTGTTCTGCAGAGGTACCAGCCCCTTGGTTGGTGGAGACCCTCAGCCTGCATTTGGCCCCCTGCGCGTGATTCTTGGGATGCTCGAGGGAAAAGTGGCAGCTGTCTGTTGCCTGGGCTGCGGGGCGTTGGCAGGGGGCTTCTTGGAGAAGGGACGAAGTTGGTTCACCGACAGGTCAGACTGCTGGGTGAAGAGCGGGAGTGACCGACAGAGACAGTGCCCGGGAGGTCGGGAGTCAGGTTGGTCTGCAGGACAGGCCAGCAGCTGCCCTTGGCGACAGCCAGGTGGGGGTGGGGTCTGTGGGAAGAGGGGAGACGCTGCAGGCCCTGGTGTTGGAGGGCTTCCCAGGCTGCTGCACCCCTTCCCCAGGCCTCCGTCTGTCCCCCTGCCCGGTAGGCAGTGGCTGCAGGGACCTTCAGCTTGGCCTGGGCCATAGACCCAGATGCCTGGATGGCAGGAGGCAGGGGAGGGAAATACACTGGCCCGGTGGCCGAGGACCCGAGTCACCACCAGGTCAGTGAAGGCAGCTGGCCCTCAGGGTGCTGCCCCCCAGCCCCCCAGGCCTGTCAGCTGTGTGAGCTGAGTGGGAGGGGGGCTCCAGCCCTGCCTCCCAGAGAAGGCTGCTGTCCTCACCCAGGGACACTGAGTCATTGCGTGCGAGGGAGGCTGTGGGGACCCAGCCCAAGTGTACAGCCCTCCCGCCCGTACCCCCCACACACCTGCTGCTTCATCCCAGGGTGACTCACAGCCCCCAGCAGCGCGCGCCAGGGCCTGCTCCTTCTCACCTGGGCCTGGACACCCCCCCGGTGCCTGCCTGGCTCAGGCCACCCTGGGGTCAGGGACACCGGGCCCACACTCCCACCCCCTCCGTGCAGGCTCCCTTCCAGCCACATGCTGCGGATCAGGCAGGAGCCAGACACGGGCTTCGACTCCAGCTGGACAGGCAGCCACTCTTTCTGTTGCCGTGGTTACGGACATCCCCATCACCACTGTCACCTCCTAATCCAGCCAGACAGGGAGGCTCCCAAGGGTGGGGTCAGGGTCCTAGGCAGCAAATGGCCATGCCCACAGGCAGGTTTCCTGGACGTGGTGGGCACGGGCACACCTCCCTGGGCAACTCTCAGGCATGCGATGGCTCCTTCTCCTAGGGAACACTCCCCATTACCTGCTAGGTCAGTTGTTCCCACTTCCCGATCGTCGGCAGCCAGGCCCTACCCCCGGAGAGGACGCTGACCCGGCCGGATTTGGAGCTCTCATTGCAGAGGTCCAGGGGTGCCAGGGAAAGGAGGTGCCCGTGCTACGAGGAAGACCATGGCATTGGAACGCGTAGGCAGCAGGCGCTGGGGGAACAGACAGCCCGCAGCCTCCCTCCCACTCTGGGGCCTGGGGCTCTGGCCTCCCCGGTGTTCAGGGGAGGAGCAGAGAGAGGCTCGGGGGACCCAGTGCGGGGCCAGCTCTGGGGGACCTGCCCTTAAGGGCCAGGGAGAAGCACCGGGACAAGGGGCCGTGACATTGTCGGCCCGTGACCTCGAGGCACGGCAGGAGGATGGTGCTCCCAGCTCTGCACCAGGCCAGCACGAGCCAGAGAGCCCCCATGGGGAGCAGGGAGGCGGGTGCAGGGACCACTGGCCATTAGGTGGTCACAGCTCAAGGTGGCTCTGCTGAAGCTGCCAGAGGCCACAGCCGCTGTCCCTGTCTGCCCAGGGGCAGGGGGTCCGTCTCAGGCCATGCAGCACAGGGAGCTGCCCCCGAGCGCCCGAGGCAGGGCCTCGCTGGTCCTCCGCGGGCTCGCCCTACTTACCAGCGCGGCCCTGGCCATTCAGCTCAGGACGGGGCTGCCTGGCCAGGCCAGGGCACAGTGTGGCGCCAGCAGTCTGGGGGCAGGACACAGGGCCACGTGGGTCTTTTGGGCTGAGGTTCCCCTTCTTCCCACCATGATGCCACACACACCCTCAGCCAGCTGGGCAGGGGCAGCCCTGGGGCCTCTGGGAGCTCTGGGGTCGGGGTGTGGCGGACAGAGGCTTCCCTCCCACGGGACGGCTGCTGCGGGGCCCGGACCTGTCGGGACCACGTGGGTGCAGACATGCGGCGTGAGGAAGGGACGAGGCAGTGAGCTGTGGACTGGTTCCGTCACAGTGACAGACTGGAGTTGTCCTCCTCCTGACACCAAATCAGAGCTGAAAGAAAGGGCCACTTAGAGTTGTCTCAGGAGGGGTGTGGGCGGCCCATGTTTCCAGTGACCTCAAGTTCTGGAGGACAGGGCCGCCCCCACTTCCAGGGCCCTGACTGCTCAGAGGACACAGGGAGCAAGCTGGTCACCAGTGGCAGACAGAGGGGTGACCACAGCCAGCTGCCTCCTCTTCTCTCAGAACTGATTCGCCCTCTGTCCTCCCGGGAGCCCTGCGGTCAGGGCGTCCATCTCCAGCGGCTGGGGAGCTGCAGGTTTGCTTTCTGTTGGGCATCTTTCGGAACCCCCCGAAGTCTGCAAGCAGACTGGCAGTTAACGCCACTTCCAGCCACGTGCTCCTGCTCAGAACGTCTGCCGGTGGCGGCCCCTGAGTGCCGTCCTGCTGGCGGTAGGGTGCACAGGGTCAGGGTGCGCTGGGCAGGCTGGGACCCAGGACCGGGGCAGGCTTTGCAGGATGGGCACCACTACCTGCACGGGTACCAACCTCCACCCCCCTGCCAACCCTGTGGGGGCAACAGACTTCAAGGCCGGCTCCTTGGCAGCCTGCTCCACCTTTGGTCCGCCGGGCAGGTCTCTCTCCCCCATGCCCCGCAGAGGGGAGGCTGATTCAGGCGGTGGGGTGGCCCTCCGAGAGCTGGTGCCTGTCTCCTCTGCCCTGTGCCTGATTGGATGACAGGGCTGCAGGCTCTCGGCTCCGCGCCCCCGACACAGGCTTCCCTGTGTGGTCTTCCTGCCCCTCCTGGCTCCTTGGCTCATCCCAGGAGGAAGGGAGAAGCCCATTCAGGGGGCGCCCAGGCACAGGTGACGTGTTGGGACAAAGCACTCCATAGGCCCAGCCTACAGCCACTCGGGAGCCCAAAGGCCCTGCCTGCCCCTCCCCACACTGCCCCTCCCCACACTGCCCCTCCCCACACTGCCCCTCCCCCCGCCGACTGTCCTTGGCCTCTCCAGTCTGATGGTTCCAAAGCCAGTGCCAATCAAAAGCCTGGAGCAGAGCAGGAAGTGATGGCTATACCTGCCCCCAGCTGGCCGGTCCACTAACCAAACCAGACTCTATCCCGGCCCCAGACATCCCTGTGACCCGGGGTCTGCCCCCTCACCCCAGGGCAGGTCTGGGGTTCGCCCAGCTCCGGAGGCCTCAGGGTCAGCCTTCTGCTCCCACCACTGTTTCTTCATCCGCCTCGCCCAGAGGGTGTGCACAGGTGTGGCCTCGAAGCGTGCGTGGTCCCCAAAACAAAGGGCAGTGTTCTGGGTGAGGCTGAGTTCAGGGCTCCTCTGGGGACGCAGTGGGGGACCCAGCCCTGGAAGAGCTGCCCACGCGCCGGCCCCTGTCCTGCCCACGCCCCAGGGTCCACCGCGTGGCCCGAGGACACCTGTTTTCCGTTTGAGGAAGAGACAAACCGGCATCTCAGACAAGCCACATGTCGCCAGGCCCCTCCCCGGGCGGCACGGGCTCCTTCCCCTGCCCGCTGCCCTGCCTGGCCCGGGACCCCTGCGAGGGAGGCCGGATGGGGCTTCTTTGGGGGACGACCATGTTTCAGAACGAGGCAGAGGTGGCTGTCGCCCAGCATCGGGAAGGTGCTAAATGCCACGGACTCATACCCTTTAAAACGGTTAAGTTTATGTTGCATGAGTTTTACCTCAATGTAAAGAAGTCAGGGCTGCTGTGAATGTAGATCCGGTTAACTCTTGTGAGAAGGCCCGGCACGGAGCGAGCCTCCTGGGGTCTCCCGCGTGGGCAGGGTACGGGCACCGACGGGAGAGGCAGCCCCACAGGGTCCTCACCGAGCTCCGGCCCCTGATCAGGGCCTGTGCGTGTGTCTGCCACCGTGAAGGTGGGGGCCCAGCCGTGTGTTTTGGGGTCCCCTCGGCAGAGGAAACCAAAGCAGCATCTTGGCTGCAATGCTGGGGTGCCACGGAGGCTCCTGAATTCATTTCTCACCCGTGCACAGGCCCTGGCCCGCCACCAGCCACCGAGCGCTGCGGTGGAGCACCCAGGCGTGTTCAGGGTGTTCACCCCCCTTCGAGCCGGCACCCCCCCGGCCGCACCCCGCGACCCCGCGCCTGCCCCTGACCTCCGAGCACTCCCAGGGAGACTGCTGGCCCTGGCTTGGCCCCCTCAGCACAGACCCCTGAGCGTCCACACCCTGGACCCTCCTCACACATGCTAG